ATTAATATATATATATATTTAAAATATGTTACAAGTAGCAGAGATATTTATTATGTTATAGGGGTTTGGTGCTGGAAATTTCCAAGCTTTATTTGAAGCAATTGAACTTGAACAAGCTAAGCGAGGCAATCTGTAATATATATATTGTGGAAAATGTTATTGTATTGATAAATAACAATCAGATAATTATAATATAGCATTTTAAGTATGTTATTACATATATTTTACAATAGATCAATTATATTATTTTGTACAAGTGCAAGCATATGTGCATGTATTGTACATCTTATATTGCATATATTACATATTCATGAATTCCTGCTAGCCGATTATCATATCATTTACTATAATATGCAATTGTAAATAAAATTGAAATGAAAATGTGTGTGATAAATATATAATCAGGCAACCAACCCTACATATTAAATCTCTTAATTATTAATATGCGTGTGAGAGTTATAAAAGTAGAAAGCATTAGGAAAAGAAATATATATTTTTTTGTTTTATAACTTTGATGACATTGTATTATATCACTATTACGGTAAGTGTCCTATTAAGAGAGATACTGCATTTATTAATAGCATATTATTTTGTTAGTATTAGACAACGAAAACAAAAGGAAATTGAAGAAAACCACAATTATTAAACTGTATTTATTCTTAAATGTTTTTTTTTTCTTTTCTTTTTTTCTTATGGCCAAAATGTAAGCAGATAATTTTCATATAAAAACTGGGATATTTAGATAAAGTGGAATAATATGCAATGACAAAAAAGATAGAGTAATATGAAAAAACCTAGCTCACTTATTTCAACATGTGAATAGTCCATGTGGTTCAATGAATGGTCTGTAGATAGTTCTAAAGTTGCATCAAACATTTTCTTCATGGACTATCGTGAATGCCAAGGCGAAAAATATCGTGTTGACAATAGAAAGAATTTCCCAATGGTTTCAGCACAAAAATTTGTGAGAAGGGATGTGGTGGATCTTCATCGGCCTAAAAAAAAATATTAATATGCGTATTGTCAATAAACGTAGAAAGTCACAATACTTCCTGACGATTTATCGAAGTTTTGTTTTTATCGCCGATCCTGACATGTGATCAGTATATCATAAAAGAAAATAAAAAATAAACAAAATATAGTAGTGGTTGAAACATACAATATCTGACATCATCACATTGTACAAAGCAAATGATATAACAAAAATTCATTTTGAGATTTTTTCTTTTTACAAAATATTTTATACAATTAAATTAAGAAATATACATTTTTTTAAATCGCTAGTTATATATATTATATAATAATATATAATAATAATAAAGGTTAATTTAAATCAAAAAGTTTGATTGTAGAACTCATGTTACAAGCTCTTCAAATATCTAACCCTTCTTTTTTATCACCCTTTATATATAATATTTTGCGTCGTTGAAATATAATATATTGTATTCCTTTTACTAAAAAAGGAATAAAAATGTATAATGTTAATTTAGTGAATAAATAATATAAACACTTTAAACACAGTATACATTAATAAAATTGATTTTGATACAAAGACAAAAAAAATTGTAATTTGTATTACGAAATTATATTTTTCGTGGTTATATATTATAATTCAAATTAGTTCAGTAATTTAATTTATATATATTATAGACAAAATATATATTAGTATCTTACACTTGTTAATGAATACAGTGATATTACTGTCTCTCTTTCAGTTACTTTCTTATTTAGGTATAATATATAATGTCACAAGTGTTAGTTTTATATTTATTAACTTATAAGACAGTTATTTAGAGGTTGCTAAAATATATTACAACGAAACACTGTATCAGAACATAGAGTTTATTGGTCAGTACCAATCAAAATTTCATCGCGTGACTAACAATTTTTCTTCATCTATTTTATACTTAAATATTATAGTCAGTTATAGAGTTAATTATACTTCTAATAAATATAAATAATATGGGAGATAAATTATGCTTAAATGGTGGCAGCCACATGCACTCTTTCTAATGTTGAAACAAGCAGATGTATTCGCACAAAGCAATGACAAAAAATAGGTAACATCAGATAGGCTTGCCCTTACCAAAGTATGGACAGATCAGTGGATGATTGGTACCTGTTGCCTAAACCGTGTCATGCAACGCAAGTCTGAAGATGTCATGCTGCACGTAAAAGCTGGTGCCGATTGGCTTCAGGACAAACGTCTGGATGTAGGCGTGGGGCTGATCCTCATCAGTCTACCCAATCATCAACAATCACTCACTGAATTTTCTTATATCATCTTCTTTGCAGATGTAGGTACATAGAGAGATAGTTGCTGGATACTAGTCATAGCTCAATGTCTACCTTCATATGGCAGCACAAAAAATGTCAAACGATACAGTATATTCATATCATATCTCCAAACCATAATAAACAATTGAATAGGCAGAGAATTCCAAATACCAATGGAATTTTCAAATTTAATTTAAGAGTTACTTTCATAAGAAATTTTCTTTTCAATTTTTTGTTCAAAATTTATCAGATTTGTCATTGCCTTCATAGAATAGACTCTTCAAGTAAGAATACATATTCTAATTAATTTGAGTAATTTGTGAGATAGGTGTTATATAATATTAAATTACTGAACTAATTATTGAACCAGTTTGAGTAAAATAGATAAGAAAATAATATTCTTTTAAATATTATTCACTCTTTTAACGCTCCTAATCTAAGATGTTGAATATATAATTTGTAATAAATATACTTAAATCATATGTATATTAAATAAGATATGAGCAAATAAATAAATAAATAAAATTTGTATGTACATATGACCCATGCCTAAATTTCTAATAAAAAAAAATACTTATTTATATTAGAACATTTATCAGAGATATAGAATAATATTATCATATATAACCTCATTGTTATAATATGACAAATTTTTACTTAAGATTACATAGAATCAACTCCTGTACGCATAAATATTTTAATAGCTGTAATCAAATTTTAATTGAAAAAAAAGACCGGTGTAATAAATTTCTTACCTGCAGCCTTCCTAAAACATTTATCAGTACACCGCCATCAAACATAGGCTGTGAATCAATTGCTGTTATCATTCGATTGATTTTTTGAAACGTCAGACTCTACAAAAATGAAAGATGAAATTTATAATAATTAAAGGTTAATTATTTTATATAACTCTTTGATACTAATATTATTAAAAGTTTAAATTTTTCAAAGCAAATTCTTATTTACATGTAAAAGAATTAACGTATATATACATAAGTATAAATGAATAATATATTTACAGATAATTAGGTAATATTACATATTATTACAAAAATAGAATACTTACAGTTAATTTTTCCATAATTTTAATGGCACCTTGAATTTGAAAACCTTCAAATGTCATAAAAGATGTCTCAGTCTACAAATATTCAAATAAAATCTTACATTATTGTTCCATTTAAAATAATAAATCATAAAGTTAACATGAATAAATCTAATTTAACTTACGTTATACATGTTTATTAAGTTTGGTCTTTGGGCTGGATCATCGAACAGCAAATAGTATTGCTGTACAAATCCTTTTCCGATTGCTTCATAAGATGGATTCAACTCCATTACGATAAATCGATTATCTTTGTAAGACCACTAAAAAATACTAGCAAAGTAGACCGTTAGTAGGTTTAATCGCGTAACGTATAGAATCTTTAAAAAATATTATACTAAGGATAACGTTAAACTTTCGGACATCCCTCATGCCAGTTATAAGGGAGCAGGAAGCAAGGAATATGAAACTCGAGAGTTAAAAAATCGAACTAAAGAATATTGGTTAAACCGGAAGAAACGTTAAAACGTCTTTCGTGTGCCTACCCTCTGGCGGGATTAATGATGAACTAAAATTATTCCCGGTAAATACCCTTTTCTTTTTTATATTACAAATACATTTTTTAATATAATATAAACTCGTTATCAATATAAACGTCAAGAAAATAAGTTAATAATTTATATATTTAAATAAAGAATTATAGAGTGCTTGTTTTTGCTATCTTGGTATGAGCAACTTTAAGCTCACTTTATTATGAATATATGATACTATTCAGTGAGCATATTTAAAAGCTACTCATATTAAGTTTATATTTATCTACATTAAATTCTAAATTGTTTATTATTATCATTTATCAAAATACAATATTTTGATTGTTAAGAATAATATTATCATATAGGATGGCCAATGAATGATTTTGTATCATTGTTTATCACGAAAATCAAATATTTGAAATTTGTAAAATCACTCATTAAATTTACGAATATTATTATGTAGAAATAATTGATTAGAACAAAATTGAAGAAAGTTTAGTTAACTTATATTAGTGAATATTTAATATATAAGTGTACAAACGCATACACACACAAAAACACACACACACGCAATAGATAAARGTATAAATTTATATGTAATACAGATAAGTATGAAAATATCATAAGTTAGATCACTCATCAATAGCGCTTCATTCAGCGTACCGATCCTAATCCTTTATTCGTTCTTCAGTTGACGACACACCGTCTCGAGATGCACACGTGTTTTAATTGTCGCTCTTATTTTTTATTAAAAAATTGTATACCTTTTTTTCGGAGTGCTCGAATAAAGTTGGATATATATTTTTGAATTAATTTCATTCATGATGATAACTTTACGTATAATTTTTTTCTTTGTCATCATCGTCTAATCGAAAAAAAAAAAAAATAAAACTATATTAATTTTGTCGAGCAAATTAAACGATAAAAGAGGAGAGGTACGTCGTTGTTTTATTTCGCCTTTCTATTGTTATCGCTATCACTGTCGTCATCGTTGTCGTTGCGTAGTGTCGTCATCATTATTATTATTGTCATTGTCTTTTAACGTACTAATCGATATTCTTTGAAATTTATGTATCAAATTTTGTACGTTATTATATTACGCGCGCACTGGAATGAGAGAGAACGAACATGAAATTGGCGCCAGATATATTGTATATATACCTTTAATTAAATTGTATTATTTCATATAAAACAATTAGAACATTTTTATTATACAATTAATTTTTTTTTTTTAATTGGAAATAATGAGTTTCACAATTATTCTTACATTCATTATTTTTTGCACATGTAATATATATATATATATATCTATAGATCATTTTTATCGCTTTAATATTATCAGTTATATCAAAAGATTTTATCAAACTGCGTGCAAATGTATTTGATAAGTAAATAGAAATAGATAAATCGTTGAAAAGTTAAATGTAATATTTCGATTAAATTTCGAAACGTTTTAACAATACATAAAATAATGTAGGATTGTTAATTTTATTGAGAAAGTAAAGTCAATTGTATAAATTTTTGTTTACTTCATAACTGGTATGAAATTTTGTTATACGTATCATAAATAGAATCCCAGTTTAAAGAACTGTAATTAAAACCAAGGGTAGTTTATCATGTAGGTTATATATTTATTAATTTATTTCAGAAAATTAATGCATTTAAATATTCTGACGCAAAAAAAACGTAAATTTTAATATAAATCATGTAAACAATAATTTTATATAACAACATCGAATTTTTAACACTAGAAAAAAAAACCAATTGTTAGGGATCAGTTTAACAATTATTGGTTATAATTCGGAATTAGTTAATATTTATTAAGACAGTATTTTTATGAAAATATTTGTAAATATAATTACTTAGTAAAATTAAAAATATTATATAGACAAAATAAACAATATTGTATTAACATAGTGATATATTTAATTATTTATATTGAACAAAATATTCATATAAATGTTTTGGTTATTTTGAATTTATAATTTTATACATCACAAGAGACGTGTCATCCCTGGTAGTTGTGAAATATAAAGGGAGAGACAGGACGAGAATATGATAACGACCGCGCTTTGACCATACCTTATCCTGTCACCGAGAGGATATGACATCGACGTCGATTATATATACTCAAAACTCTAGTTTATTATTAGTGTATGTTTAAAATTAATATGATTATAAAAAGACGTTTAAAACATTTCTTTCTCTTATGATTCATAATTTAATATTTTCTTGTTCTCTTTATCATAAGAGAATATTTCTTTCGCATATATGAATATATTACATGCATATATATATAAAATGGTAAAGATATGCGGGATTTAAACATTTGTTTATTTTATGGATTATATTATTTACTATCTCTTGAAATTTTTCTTGTAAACTGTTATGCGCGATATATGCGTGTATAATAGAAACGAAAAGGCTAACAACTTCATGTTCATTGATATGCGATACGACGAGCAGGAAACAAGCAACCGGCTTAGTATATAGCCTTGGTACTCTTTGGTTGACTCTACCGGATGCGTCTGTTTTCGGCATAAAAGATGGCGACAATATCCTCTTAACCGTAGATATTAGGTCTACCGGAAAGTTCTCTTTGATAATGCTATCCGCTTTTGTATATTCATAGTAGTTACTTCATTTTACTATTATATTTGTTTTTAAATTTACTGAAACAACGATTTCATTATCTCAGTATTAGGGGGGGGGGGTAAGGTTAATTCGTACAAAAAAAGGCATGTTTTTGTGATTTTTTTGTGACGACACAGTTTAAATCTCTTTATTAAATCCAATGGTACATTAAAGTATGACATTTGAAGAATATTGTATAAAATTTTCACGAAGAAATATTAAAAAATACGGCAATGGCAGCAATTATTCGGACGTGTCTCAGGAAAAAAGTAGAATTGCCGGGCCCCTCATAACTTGGTACTGGATCATCTGAAATTCAAAAAATCAAAGTTAATTCGTTAGATAATAGTTTTCCCCAGGTAACGCTGGGAGGGTTTTACGAAATTTCAATTTTTCACTTTTTTGGAACACTTTGAAAGGAAAAACGCGATTTTTTACGAAAAAAATCGACTAAAAAATCTCGTGAAAGTGAAAAAGTGAAAAATTGAAATTTCGGAAAACCCTCCCAGCGTTACCTGGGGATAACTATTATCTAACGAGTGAACTTTGATTTTTTTATTTCAGATGATCCAGCACCAAGTTATGAGGGGCCCCGCAATTCTACTTTTTTTCTGAGACATGTCCGAATAATTGCTGCCATTGCTGTATTTTTAAATATTTCTTCGTGAAAATTTTATACAATATTCTTTGAATGTCATACTTTAATGTACTATTGGTTTTAATAAAGAGATTTTAACTGTGTCGTCACAAAAAATTCGCAAAAACATGCCTTTTTTTGTACAAATTAACCTTACCCACCCCTTAAATAAAATTCGTTCTATTGAAAATATATTATTTTCTTGTGATTCAAAAACGGATAGAGTTACACCCGATAGATCTAAATATATATATTTTGTTTTTTTAATTTAATTATTGTAAGAAAAATTAAAAAAAAAAGATTTACCATCTCTCTTACTTTCGTTTGTAATAAAAAATCATTGAACATGATATTCGTATAAGTTTATTGTATACACATACGTAATAGAAAAAAATGTATTTATGAAATTTGATAAAACAATGGCGTTTGTTTGTTATAGGAAAAAAAATTAGAAAGAAATATGTCACGTAGAAATAAACCAATAAAAATTACTGCAGTCGGAGATGGAATGGTTGGAAAGACATGCATGCTTATTACTTATACCACGAAAAAGTTTCCAACGGAATATGTACCTACTGTGTAAGTAATACAAGATAAAAACATGTTTTATGTGTTTACAATTACTCGGTTATTTTAAAATTGGCGCGTAAAACAAAGTGACTCGATAAAACAGTGGTTTTTATGATATTGTTTTTAAGTAATACTTTTTTCAATGATTATTATTATATTTTTATAACAATAACGTTTTTTTTTTTTTTTTAGCTTCGACAATTATGCAGATATTATTCGTTTAGATAGCCAAGAATTTGATATAACCCTTTGGGATACAGCCGGTCAAGAAGATTACGAACGTCTTCGGCCATTGTCGTATCCAAATGTAAGTTATTTTCAAATAAATTTAAATTTAAATGAAAACACATGAAAATTTTAAAAAAGATTAATAAAAATTATATTAAATGATATATTAAATGTTTCATTGCAGACCGATTGTTTTTTACTTTGTTTCTCGATCAGTGCTCGTAGTTCATATGAAAATGTTGCAAGTAAATGGTATCCAGAAATAAAACATCATTGTCCGCATGTACCAATAATACTTGTCGGTAAGTTTGATTACATTCTGGTATACATTTTTATATCGTCAAATGTCAAAAAATCGATAGTTTTAATTGTAATTTTATTGGTTTTGTTAAAATATCATTAGGTACTAAAAGCGATCTCAGAGATCAAGAGAATTTAGATATAATAACGCCACATGAATGTAAAAAAATGAAAAAGAAAATTAAAGCCTCGAAGTACGTCGAATGTTCAGCTGTAAAACAAGAAGGCTTGGAAAATGTCTTTCTAGAAGCCATTAGAGCGGTTTTAGAAAAACCACCATCTAGGAAACTCTGTTATATTTTTTAAAGAAACCCACACAAAAATTTCTATATTATTTATATTTAAATTTATTAACTACAGTTATATATATTCAAAAACAAATTCTAATATATGTAAATTTTATTATTAATTATCGCGTACTACGAAGAATGCTCGATTGTTAGACAATGGAAATTTTATCAACAAAAAAAAAACTTTTTTTAACTAATATTATTATTAACTAATGAAAAATAAAAAAGATTTTTTATTTTCAAACATTCTTTTTTTGATTCTTATTATCTTTTTTAAATTATGTGTATTTCGAGTTACAATAGTCTATCATAATTTTAAATATTCTTTTATATTAAAAGTTTAATGATAATTTAAATTTTTTTTTATCTGATTATAAGATAGCTCTACAAATGCTCATTGTATAAGCGTCGAGATAGATGCTTTGTATTTATATGTGTATATATATATATGTATAAATTTCAATAAGAATTTTGTTTTATTCGCATGAACTTCCCTTGTGTAAATAATTTATTTTAATATAAACCATCCATCGTAGATTATAAAAAAATATAAACATTGTTTTTTTTAAATAATAGCAATAATAATAGTAATAATAATAAAAACTATATATAAATAAATTACTTTAATAATGACTTGTGTAATTTTATTCATTTACATTAATTATAAACTTATAAATGAGTCGACTGCACTATGATTTATTTACAATTACACATTTATGAACACATAAGAAAATATATACATAAATTCAAATCAAAAATCATATTATTAAAGATAATTATAAATAATCTTAAAAATTATAATAATAAAATGCGTCAGTAGTCATAATTTTTTTCCCTTATTTTTTTTTATAAATTTTATCTTTAAACATACATTGTAATTTAATATAATATCTTAGATCATATCTTATCATACCGTTGACTGCGAATATTTCATCAATGATAGCATGCTTGTTTCTCCTCCTTTTACTAAAAATTATATTCATCTAGTAAGATATGTATTACAATAGAAAAAAGTAACTAATATTGAAAAAGAAACAAATTGTTAAAAGGCTAATTATAAGGATAAATACTTATAAAGGTATTAATATGTATTTCTGACATGTTCGTGATTATACAACCGATCGTAATAAATATAACTTATAATAACGCCAATTAGTTTTGTTTCACCGTCCAAAATTACCATCCGAGAGAGGTGTGACTTTTTGTTGAATTATCTTACCGTAACCTCCTCTACCGCTGTCAAAGTCAGATCTATATTCGTCTCTCACCTAAAATATCACAAAAACAAAAATTGCAACATTAATTAATTCTTTAAAACAAAAAGTAGAAAAACTATTAATAATATTATACACAGAATGAGACAGGTAACTCGATTACCTCAAATAACTTTTACATTGTATATTAAATAAAAAATTATTTGTACATAAGTTACATGGTATCGAAATAAGTATTATATGATGTACATGATTTCCTAAGAAGTAAAGATGTTTAAGAAATCTAAAAGTCTCGTAATTAGGCATTAAAATTTGTAAAATTTTTAAGAATGAGTTAATCAATTTGGCTTGAAAATGGCTAAATTTATATGACATTAATATATAAGGGATACTCATAAGTAATGTTATTTTTATCAAACTTTAAAAACATCACCATTTATTGATAATAAATATAACATAACCTATATATTAAGTAAATTATTGTTGGTAAGTGGTAATGTTTTAAAGGTTGGAAAAAACGATATTACTTATGGATACTCCTAATGGATAATATATGCAGCAATAAGCAAATTTTACTTGTCCTCCTGTCTTTCCACGTCCATATTGTCTGCCTTCTATAAATCCAGCGTCCCAGTCTGTTCTAATAATTCTGTCGTCAAGACGTGTACCATTGATATATCTCATACAATTTTCTGCATCTGATCTTTGATAATACTCAACGAAGCAAAAGCCACAGGGTGTTTTTTTATATTTATCTAATCCCATAATGATACGTCTGATATCTCCACATTTTGAAAATAATTCATAGATTTGTTCTTCTGTAGTATAAAAAGAAAGATTACCGACGTATAAAGTAGTAGAATTTCTAAGAAGTCTATCTTGTTCTGCTCTGGATCCCTAAAATTTAATTAAATTTATTATTTAATACAATTTTTTTTTTAAATGAATAAGAATAACATTATAGAAAAACAAAAGTTAACCTTCAAAAACGTACCTTAAAATGTTGATCTCTGTAGGGACTTAATTCTATCGAAGGTGAACTAGATGCGTTCAATTTTACTAAGGCCATTATATATAATATAAACTTTTTTTTATACCTGTAGCAACAGATTTTTACAAACTCTACACATTCACTAACTACTCGAATTTTCCATTAGAGAAATTTGATTACGAACTCATAGAAACTTGTAGCGTTAACCACATATATAACAGAACATACTCTGAGGGAAACAAATACGCCACGAGATGTTTTGGTAAAATCGAAGAATGCAGCATTATTAGAACATTAAACAAACACTTTTCGTGTAAAAAGAATCATTTTAGTTAGTACCGGGACCACCAGTAGGCGACAGTAGATAAAATACTGTGGTATCACTGCTCAATAATACCACTAGATTAATGATATACAAAATGATTAACGTGTATAGATAAACTTTATTGATAAATCTGAATTTATAATATGTATTACAAGTAGTTATATTCAGTCTTAGAACACGTGGTGAATACAATGCGTTGTGTGTATAACCATTAACTATTCTTCTTTTGTTTTATATGTTTGTTGGTCTGTTTTATCATTTGAGGTAGTTGGTTATTGGTTTAGGCGCAGAGAGGCGCGCATGATACCTTAGTTGTATAAGCAGCCTGCAGAGGCGTGACTATAGATACGTGTCCATCACAATACTGTATTCTTTGATAGTGTACCGTTCTTTGATAGGATTGTACTGTCACCTCCATATATGTATGGTCACCGCGCTAACTACTTACTATTGCCCACTGGTGGTCCCGGTACTAACTAAATATAAATGAGTCTGGTTAGATAAAAAACAAGACTTGTCAGCTTCTATGAACTTCTATATTCTTTGTTTCTGCATTGGATCTATCTTACCAACAGTCAAGAATCAGTTATTTTATATAGTAGTACCGGTAAGTTGTGTTTGGCAATTACTCTACCATCTACTGCTAGGGACTAACACTACCTATAAAGTATAGTGTCAATCTATACAGTTTGATCACATTTTAAAATTATAAAACGAAAATCTACAACAGAGTACCAATATAAAAAAAATTTCAAGTCAGCTGTTTGCTTTGAATGCAAGAAATTTCCCGCTTTTACGAATAATTTTTTCTCTATATTTCTAATTAATTTATTTTTAGTATTACTTATTTTGACATTTATAATAACAAATAAAGGTTATTTAATTGTAATTAATTTATTTTTCATTTAATAATGTTTAGGTAGGACCAATGAATTTATTTAACACGTTGCCGCACACTTTTGACGATCATGCTAAGAAACACAAAGATCGGATGACTATAGCCGTCATTTGCGGCAACGTGTCAACTTATCTAGATTTAAATAATACATGCATATTAAAGTTTTTATTTTTAATCTACTTTTATATTAGTATATTAATTGATTTACAATTTGTTATAAGGCATAAAATTATTAATTGTTCTTGTAAGGGAACAATTTCTTTTTTTTTATATATAATATATACTTATTCACAAAATATCAGTTTTACCTCAGTATTGTGTTTTTTTCTATCCACATAAACACACGAAAATAACATTTTAATTTTACATGATTATATAAGAGTAACAGGAACAATTAAATTAAATACAAATAAAAAGTTAATTAACCAAAGTAAAAATACAAAATAAATTCATTAATTTTTTTTCTTCATTTGATATATTATCTGTCATTAAGCTATTTTTGTGTTTTCATATACACACAGCTGAAATTTATTTTATTATAACATATCAAATGTATTTTTCATCATGAAAGATTGTATTTGTATTCGTATGAAAGGTATTTAAAAAAAAAAAAAAAAAGATCAATACCCAACTAAATGCGATTAAATTTGTGAAAGTAAAAATAAAGTAGGTAACAGTAATTAATATTTAATTTTGAAATCTGTCCATTTTACATAATAATAAACAAACGTCATAGATCATATTATAGTACACAAATTTTCATTGCAGATAAAAAATCAGACTTTCTATAGGCTGCTTGCGGCCTATAAAATGGAGTTACATTAATGTTGTGTTTATGTGTCGGACTTGAATCTAATCACAGTTTATTCTGATGTACGAGATAACAAAAAATTACCAGTTACAATACTGTACAATACTGTAACAGGGTCATTAAAAAGAGAACAAAGTTATAATATGTCTTATAGATATAATTTGATCTCACAACTGCTTACCAAAAGATTTGTTTTTCTTTTTATTTTATTTATTTATTTTTTTTTTTCCAAAGTACCACACGATTAATATAGCACTTTCTATGAAATAGACTTTTTATAAGAGATTTTATTATACTGTTGTTGACCGTATATAAATCCCAATATTTTTTGTTTCCATTCTATTTTATATAGAATAATAATTGGTTTCTTCACAGACATAATTTTGTTACACCATAAACAGACATTTCTCTTTTAAGGAACAATCATAATTCAATCAGATCCAAGGTATCATCTTATGTCACTGATATATCCGACTTTAGTTTTATACGCTTATACAATATATCAACAAAGGAGAGCAACCGATGTTATGAATGCACTCTTTACGAATATATTCCTTAAACATGTCGCCAAATTTTCACATATCATGTTTTTTATAGGAATTTTAAACATATTCATCAATGCATACACATAACTCACCATATACAATGTTCTCAAAATTAATATATAAAGTAAAGGATAAAGTATCTTTACGTTATTCAAGTTTTCTAAAATTTTAGAAATATATATCAAGAAATGCGATTAATGTTCATCAAATATTTTCTTTTTTTTCTTTATATTTTCCATATATATATTAGTAAACCTTGTGATTGATAAATTTATGAAAGCTTACCCTCTTATGATCGTATTTTACATATTATTATATATGTATGTATCAAAGAAGCCATTTGAGCCACTCATTTGCCAAACCGATTAATACCACAAAACAAAAAGTAGAAAAACTTGATAAAAAAAAATTTACATACATTGTTATGTAATTTATTAATCATCAATAATTATAAAAATGTTTGTTACTCAATAGCGTCAAGCCTAATTTTTAAAGAAATTAATTATATAAATATAGAAAGCTAGGCATCATTCAAATGCTTTGTTACTAAAACTTTAAAATATTCTCGAAGTGGAGTTAATCACTTTGGTTTGTGAGAACAGTTCATTTATGAATTGTTTGTAAAAAAAATGACTTCTTATCATTAAATTGTAGATCTAATTTCATCAAAATAAACTTATATTTCATTGTTGCATTTTACTTATCAACTATATTATTATGTGTACTACTATATATAGATATAATGAAAAAACAGCCGCAAAGTTTTGTTTTAAAGTAAATGTAACAATTTATTTGTTTTTTTTCTCTGTTGTAGATAATACGAAATAATTTATCATATTTTCATGTTTATATTTTGTCTTATTAAATATACATATAATTCCAAACACTTATTTAATATACTTTATCGAAGTAGATGCTTTTTTTTTTTAACTAAAAAGTACAGATCACAAATGATATATCAATTAACCTCAAAAACAAAAAAAGAAAGAAAAGAAAAATAATAAAAAGATAAATCATGGTTGAAATATTCTATTTCAACATATATCGCAGTTTTTAGTAATAATAAGCGTTTATGGATTCATCAATGACAAGGTTTATATAATACCTATACGCGTACACCACCAATATTTATTGCAATTGTTGTTGTTGTTTTAGAATCCGAATGACTGTAGAGCTACTTACAAATGTGTCTCATCTGAATACAATGTTGTAAAGTCTATAGAGCTCTCTGTCGTTTAAAGTAAAAATTTTTTGTTTAAAGCACCAACATACAAACTCAGATATATAATTCATATATTAATTTACTTTAAAGCGCAGGCAATTAATGTGGTTTTTGTTTGTTTGTTTTTGTGTATATTAAATATTGTACCTAATCATTTAAAATATAAAAAAAAGGCAGCGTTGTAAACTTAAGATATAGTTTCATTCTCATTGAATTTTTTTCATTATTTAGGAGATTGGTTTTTTTTTTGTTTCAGTATCCGTTACTTCAATTTCTGTACGCATATCAGTAACAAATATATCATATGCGCTCTTTACTATATAATGTATAGGTACATATAATCATATAACATCTAAAGCCAAGCTCCTGTAATATACACAACACTTGAGGCACTTAAATGTGTGCTCAAAGACCATATTTTTTTTCTGACATTTCTTATATTATTTGCTTATAAGCATAATTCTAAACGGTATGTTATCTCTCGTAACAGTGTCATCAAAAAGGAAAGTCAGTGCCGTAATCAGGTATTCCAATATTTTATAACAGTTGTTTCTTTTGATCTCAATATAGAAACAGAATAATATATTCCAGAATATTGATAACGATTAATTTCTGATTAATCTGCGTCTGATTAAAATTGGAATAAATCACTTAAAGCTTCTCTAGTAAAGACTAGAAAGTATTTGGAACACCATGGAATGTTATATTTTCAAAATTATTTTATAATTTATATTTTATAACATAACCATATAGTTTTGTCAAATACATGTGTCCATAGAGAAAAATTTGTTTAAATTTTATCTTATAAATTATTTCTATCTTCTCTTTAAAATGATTTTTAAATTTTCTTTTTATCCAAGATTTTGTACCATTAAATATGAATAACCACAGGAAGTATGAAAACATTACTCTTTCACATTATAATCTTGAAACATAAATAAATTTTTTAATGGAAAATATAACATGCCAACGCATAGAATCTCCGATCTAATATGTGGATGGTTCATTCTCAAATGATGTCATCTAAATAGCTTACATTATATAATCTAACTCAAAATACTGCAAGTATTAACGACTGCAAATTTAATTTTTATTTACATCTAGCAATATCAAAACAAGTGCTCCCATACACATTATATATATTTGCCCATAATGTTACAAATTTGATTTATTGTTAAAACAAAATTATTCATTTCAGCTAAGCATCCAAAAGCACTTTAAAGTGCATCTATGCAAGAGATGCTACGTAATATAATTAAATATATTTTTTTTTTTTGTTATTTCTCTTACTTTATATATATCTTGCCTTTAATAATTTATTTTTATTGATAATTCTTTCAGAAATTCTAGAGTACTTATTCTTTGCGATAATATTTTTTTATTTTCTTTATCTTCTTCCATATATTAAATATTTACATGTTTAATCATAGCTGCAGATAAATAAGCAAATATTATCTAAAAGCAGAGTAACTATACAGACAGATGAATGAAAGTAGATTTTTAGTAAAAAGAATACGAACTGAAAGTTGTTGTCCATTATTTTGTGTGGTTGTGTTTATCTCTTTATATACATAATCAATATTCTGGAAAATATATTTCGCTCAATTATGTACACATACAATAAACTAAGATTAAGAAACCTATATCAAAGGTTCAGTCTGTTGCTTGCATTATACGAAAAACATTACATTTTTTCCAGGATGATATGATTGCTAATTCAATTAAAGAAACAGAAAGAAGGAAAGAAAAAAAAAGAGAAAGAGTGGAAAAAGAAATAGAGAGAGAGAGAGAGAGAGAGAGCAAAAGAGAGAGAAAGAGAGAAAAGAGAGAGAGAACAAAGAAAAAGGTCAATATCTATTAAAAAATATCCATAGTAAGTTTTTTGGCACTAATGATAATATTTCCCAGTTACGGCCCTGTATTGTGAAAGTGTGTAGGCAATTCGGAGGAAGAGGGAAGGGGGTGTTGTGGAGGCAAAAGTTAGGAGAGAAAGGAATTAAAAGATTAATACATTAGCTTAATATTTTTACAAGCTAACAAATATGTACCTCCAAAATTACAGAACCAAAACAATAACAATATTCGTCTATGCAGCATGTTGTTCTGCCAATAAACATAACTCTTAAATGTAAGGGTAATCGCTGTTTCCCGAAATAATTTGTTTATGATTCATAGTTAATTAATACACATTCATAGTAGGCAAAATCACTGTACAATGTAAAAAGTTTTCTTCATTTCCACCACATCCACTTAACAGGATGAAAGCAGTGTGCATTCATTCAATGCACTCAACCCAAATTAATGGTAATATAGCTAAATTGAAATTCATTGTAGCAGTATCTGTAAATATACTAATGTTATATTGTTTTTTAATTTTGTTTTCATGCACTAGTTATATATACATATACATATATATATATATATGGTGTTAAATCTAAAACTTTGTATATCTACAAACAAACGAACAGAAATCCATACATAAATATTACTCACTTAATAGTTTAGATGTTTCCATCTTTTTCATCTGTTTTATGTTTTGTACAAGGTAAGTCACGACAATGTTGTGCTACTTGAGCATAGCTTGGCTTCGTAACATCCTAAGGTAATAAAAAACAAAAACACATAATAACAAAGTAAAATATTTAATTTTTTTTTACTGTTTATTTATAAACTACTTTTTACATAAAAATAATAAAAATTAAAAAAAAAAAGAACATTTTTAAAAATCTATTACTATCTGTATATAGAGATTTAATTCAAATGCATACAAAGAAGAAGAAGAAGAGGAAAAGAAGAGAGGAGAGAGAGAGAGAGAGAGAGAGAGAGAGAGAGAGAGAGAGAGAGAAAGTGGCTTATAAAATTGGAAGACGGTGGCAGGAACGGCGACGGCAGCCCTCGTTAAGGCAAAAACGCGCGAGATGATGGATGGATGCTAAATTGCATTAATTAAATCCAGCGTGACACCCTCGGAAGGCCCGGGACACTACTGGCGGCTGCTGAGGCTTGGTATCACTCGGGCTCGTAACGTCGCCACTACGGGCTTGTCTCTGTGATGTGATCGAGGTGTGTGAGCCGTTTAAAACCCCATGGTGTGGGGTCACTTTGATGATTACACCCCCCTTCTAGCTTACTACTCTCTATTTTCCCCCGTACCCCTCACTCCTTGAAGTACTTCCACGAACGAGCTTCCTTATCCAGAAGCTCTTCGACCCGTGTTCTACCGTTACGTCATGCGAGAGAGAACGAGAGCAAATGTGTGTGTGTGAGAGAGAGAGAGAGAGAGAGAGAAACCGAGAATATTGGAATATATATGTGTGTATGTGTATGGTCCAGAACGATAGCCTCTGAACATCCGAGTTGTTGGTTGCTGTACTCTCTCTCTCTCTCTCTTTCTCTCTCCTCCTTTTACAAAGAGCTTCAAACGTTCTCAAAGACGCCTCAACTACGGTTAAGTATTTCACAGATTAGTCTGGAATGCTAGATATCTTGAAAGACCATCTCTCGAAACTCTCCTCGTAGTATTGTTCAAGATGTTCACTTCGATCTGTGATCTTCTACTTCGATTCAAATACGACGAATAGGTATATGTATTTCTCTCCTATCTTAGACTCTCTTGATTGGTTAAGGGTATGATTAGAAAATAATTACGAGTTTGAGAATATTCTTATTTTTATTAAAATACGTTTTGTATTTATTATAATATTTATAATTAACTTTTCATATATGATTCTCGTTATGTTTGTGAATTTGTTATGATGATCGTTAAATCAAATTCCTTCTTAACGAGCTCCCTTTCGTATTTTTTTCTATTTTTCTTTTTTTTTTTTGAGAAAATAAAAAAAGGATCTCGTAAAGCAGGAAGTTTGTAAGATTCTTTTGGGAAAAACCAGGAGAGTTGGGGGGGGGGGGAAGAGAGGAGGAGGCTTGTTAAGAACGTTGGGTAAATCGCAACCGATTCAATGCTTTTTTACTTCTTTTGTATAAGAAGATTATATTCTATTCCTTAGCGTACGAGTTTTTCGTTTCTTTTCTTGTCATGTTTTTTTTTCCTTTTCCTTTTCTTTTTTTTTTTTTTGTCAATGGACCAACTCATGGCAAAAGGTATTGTCAAACGAGTGGAATATATTCTTTTTTTTTCTTCATGCGTGTAAAAAAGTAGTACGGTGAGGATATAAAAAGAGGAGACATACATAGAAAGACAGGATTAAAGGGGGGGGCGGGAGGGGGGGGGTAGAAAATCTTTTGGAAAGCAAAGATGTTCGTTGTAGTAGCAGGTGTTTTACGAACAAATTTCTTTTCGACAATTTTTTCTTATCAAAATTGCAAATGCTCACACTTTTAACACTAATTTCAAAACTTTAAATATAAAACGTGTTTAGTGTGTAAATTATAAATTGTTACGATGTAAGATATTAGATGAGATTAAACGAACTGTAACTAAACCGATGATTTGCATAATTCGATCAAAATTAGGAAGATCAAAAGAAAGTGAAGAAGTAGGTGGGAAAAGGGAAATTTTGAAATATTTTCCATTTGTAACTTAATATTCGTTTTATTTACTTATTTGTATTTTCAGTTCTTTTTTTTTTTTTTATCATTCGAACAACATTYAACACTTGAAGCGTGTTAAAAGGATTTCAAAATATTTCTTCCTTACATTTCTTACATTTTACCCCAAAATCGTCGTCTCGTACGGAACATCAAATATAGAAATATATTTGTAAACGAAAGGGATGGGGGCAGGAGGAGGAGGAGGAGGAGG